AAAAATGCAATACAATTATAGATACAGTCACTAAATACTTAAAACAAATAAATAACTCAGTATTTTAAAAATAATAGAAGCATTGATTAAGTTTTTGCTGTACCTTCATCAGGGTTTTCACTAGTGATTCGAGCAGCAATAACATGACCCCATGGATGAGGTTTATGTCTTGGAGCATCGAAATCGATATAACTATCTCCCCAAGCAGATTCGCTATAGAGTAGTCGGATGTCTTTAATACAGTTAAGAGCTAATCCCATTGAAATTTGCAGTTGTGCAGCTGGTAAATTCACATCTGATACCATTTCTGTACAAGGATGTTCTACTTGCAGTCTAGGATTTAACTCCAAAAAGTAATAATTTCCATCTGTATCGTATAAATACTCAACTGTACCAGCACTAACATAACCCACCATTTTAGCAATTCGAACTGCAGCCTAAAGTAAAATATTAAAACAAGATAGAGTTATGGATTGAAAATTATGATAACAAATAAGATCCCATTACTTTCTCCATTTCTTCAAAAACACTAGGTTCAGCAATCACTGCAGGCGCCTCTTCGATAATTTTTTGATGTCTTCTTTGAATTGAACAATCACGTCCAAACAATGATATAGCATTACCATATTGATCAGCTAAAAGTTGTACTTCTAAATGCCTAGCGCATTTAGCCAACTTCATTATAAATATTGGTGATCCAGGAACTTCAGATTGAACCTACAAATTAATAAGTTAAAAATTAAACAGTTATTTAATCATTACTAAATAAAAAAAACTATTGAGTACATAATTTCAAAATACCTGTTTAAATGCATTTGGGAATTCTTCAGTGTTTTCTACTTTCCTTATACCTTTACCACCACCGCCTTCACTAGCTTTAATCATAATTGGATACCCAACCTTTTCAGCAGATACTAAACCTTCTTCAATCGATGCAACACAGCCTTTTTTATACAAATCTGGTCCAATTTCAATTTTTTTACCAGAATAATGTCCAATTACACCTATATAGAAGATGTAAATTTAAATGACACAAATAGAGGTATGTAAGTTATTTTAGATTAAATAGAGGGTATAATCTTATACTGAACAGTCTCATGATATGTGTGTACTTTGTGTTTCAAAACGAGAATAACTTATTTCAATTATCTGAAATAGAAATACTTTTTTAATCGAGATATTTTTAAGTRCGGATTTTGGTTTGCAAATATTATAAATATGTAAATAATTTAATCTTTAAAAAAAATGTTTGTRAATTTATTGTGACTAGTTAAATAGCAACCATGTAAGTACTTTAAGATAATGAATAAATAATATGGTATAATGATAAATAAATGATTATTTATAAAATGCAATTTGGACATGAATAAACTGTTATACTTATGTAGTATTATAAAAAWTTTTTAATTTTTATAAAAAGTGGGTAGTCTAAAATGAAGAAACATGTATTTAATAATATATAATTTTATAAAAATTCTTATTTTTTTTGTTCTGCAACAATTAAAATTTCTACACAATACCACAACATAAGATTCTATATRTGGCATGGGAATCTATACTAGTATGTGTATATTAATTCTACCTGAACCAGACCAGGGCAAAGTTGGAATTTCAGCAGTTTGTGCAACAATGCTCGAAGCAATTTTATCACCAAGAGCAAACATAGCTTTTTCAGGTGGTCCAATAAAAGCAATTTTATTTTTTTCCAACAGTTTAGGTAGCTCTGGATTTTCAGAAGCATGTCCCCAACCAGCCCATACAGCCTATTGTAAATAAAAATAAATTACATGAAAATATAAATCTAATTTATTCCATATTTTACTATAATTGTTTTAATAAAAATTTACCTGAACTTGGGAACGTATAGCTATATTTACAATAAGTTCAACATTGGCATAATTGTTGTTATTTGTACCTCCAGGTACTGGCACATAATGATCAGCCATTTTAATATACTCAGCATTTGCTGAAATAATGATGACATAATATATATGATACTATTTAATTCATACAAAATATCAAACAAAATAAATAATCAMTCAAACTGAATTAAATAGTAATCATTTCTTAATGTATAAAGTAATAATTATTAACTAATTTGGACATAAATCTTCATTAAGCTGAATTAGGTAATCTTGATAAATAATACCTTTAAGATCTTCTGGTGTAACCATAACTACAAATCGTACAGCTCTTTCATTCCTAAACATYTCATAAGACCATCGACGAACTGATCTCATACATTTTACTGCAGCAATACCATTGTTAGCAATTAAAACCTGTAATATAAAAATAACTATCTTATACCTACTAATAAAATKCAGTAATATTTGAATTTAAATTATTAAAATACAAACTAAATATTGTAAAAATGCATTATTAAAAATTCATGAATTCTGACCTTGTTTATAACGCGAGTTCCCTTAAAACGTTTCACAAATTCTTCAGGAGTACTAACATTGAAGTCTTTTTCAGTAAGTCGTTGATGGATCACATTACCTTGTGACATACTAGGCCTATAATTGTTTTATAAMATATTTTGAGTAAAATATTAATTTATTATTAAAAAATAGATATATTAGTTTAGACATTTATATTTTATAGAAAAAGTAAAGCAGTGGTTGTGAAATATAGTAATTTTTAATAAAATAAAACATTTATATATTAAAGTGTGAACAGCATTTCAGAAATAATGTATTGTTTGCAATTTTGTTAATTAAGTACCTAAAACAAAGTTGTTGGCGTTTAACAAAAATACAAGATAAGTTGATAACATATAATTAATTAATTAATTAATTACAGAGAATTAATTWRTTAATTATACATTCTCTGATATTATAATTTATAATCACTTTTTGTTATTGTTGTAATATCATAACATCTTATCAAAAGGTATTAATTTCATATAGTATTTCTTATCATAGAAACAGTTTMACTTTGTCGTCAAATAATGTAAACTTCAAGCATAAGAAGGTTGAAAAAGTTTTAATTAGTACTAGAGTCTAGAGGTACATACAATTTTAAGAACACAGTATCATCCCGATATTAAATAACAGCATAAATAACTCAATGATTTAAAGAGCATTCAATTTAAGTACAAATTATTTTCAAATTACAGWACTAACACAGTAAGGTATCTACTATTTTAATGTCATCAAAAATATCAAAAATTAATTGATTACAAAAAAGTGTGTATACACTGAAGTTAACTTATTATTGTTTATTGATTTTCTGCTTGGTTCTATGTCTGTGTCATATTGACAGATAAAGAGATGGYCCAAGTACCATTTAAAATGTCTATATAAATAACATTTAATTTAACTTTCCAAGTTTTACTCCCAACTATTAAAATTAACATTAATAAATGAATTAAMAATTAGGAAATTACTATACAGTAAATAGGTACACAAACACATGTTACTGCCAAATTGTAATTAAATATTTTGTAAACCCYTAAAAACCTCCTTTAAACAAAGTGTTAATATCTCAAAATAATTATGTAGCTTTATRGTATTTCATTTGAAATTAGAAGTATGCAAAATTAAAATTAAAAGTATAATATTTATTTAATAGGAAGGCAATATAAAAATTGTGGAGCGGTTTTGTGGTCTTAAATACCTAGTATGAGAATCAAAACTATTCCACTATATTWTTAAAATAATTGAATTATGTGACTTATGTAAATTATGAATATTAATAATTTATTATTTTTTTTTTGATAGTAACTGGCAATATATTGCTTAAAAAAGAGTTTTAAGTGTCATTAAATTTGCAAAACTATCTTATAAGATGTTGATACCTAATATTCTAATGTGTGATAACTAGTGTAGATACATTTTTTATAGATAATTAAGATTATTTGTTATAATGGAAATTTCAGTAAATGAGTATATAGCTAAAATACATTATTAAACATATAAAATRAAATTACAAGTTCAGCACATTATTTTCTGAACGTGTTTTGTTAATAATTATGACTYATAAACAAATCTGATGATAAATTTTAAAATATTAATTAACAGTGAAGCAATTACAGAAATCTGTATGTACAATTATTATGTGACCAATATTAAATGTATTGAAATAGAGGTGTGATCAGTGACCAATTGTAATTTATCCTTTCAGGGGAAAAATATGTTTTGTTTAAGTATTTATTCTTGAGAATAAAAATGATTCAACTGTTAGGAAAAATATATTAATATATCATGTAGAGTTATATGTCTTGTTAAGTATCTTCTTAAGGTTACACCACTAGTGTATAACTTTTATTTATAAACTACAGCTAAGAGCTTGGTAAGAAATCAATAAGAACATAATAATTAAAAATAAACAAAAAATATCAAAGGAAAAWACAAAACACAAATTACATATGTAAATGTATAACATGTATATTCGCACATATTATTAAAAGAATGTCAACAAAAAACAATTTTTTCTCCATTTAAGAAAAATATATGATTCAAAATATTGTTGAAAATTAAGGATATTGATTTAAACTTAACAAARGACATAAAAAATCTTAAGAGGATACAACCTACATRTCTTGTCCCCATCTTACACTTCTGTACTTTGTACAACATACCAAATTGTACATTCACAATAATCATTTAAACAAATTATTTATAAATTAAAGTGAATTTACCTATTATAAAATGAAAAGGTAAAAATATTCAATGCCATCTTAGAGGTTTTTATTGATGTTTTAACTAATTTTGAAGCAAGTAAAGATAATTTTCATACTTTCAAAAAATGTACTGTGTAAAATGTTCATAAATAAAATATCAATAAAAGACTTTGAGTTGTCCTATATTAATTAAACCTTAACATTTTATAATATGCTAATTCATTTCAATCTTAAAAATAACCAAGTAAATGGACTATTTTGAATGCAACACTTGGTATGTTGCACTTTTGTAAAAAGGTAACAACACATGAGGGYGTGGTGTCCTCCTTAACTTTTGCATTAAAACAAACAATAAAATAGTATACTCATTATCAACAGAAATTCAAATCTAGCCAGGTGCRTAGTAACCAGTAAACACTGCTAATTCTTTACATATTCTATCTGTATGAAAACTCGCACTATTATCCATACAACTTAAAATTAACTACTAAGTACTAGTAAAACATTTTCTGACTAATTTCCATTTGAAACTGCCTAAATTTTGAGTATTTTGTACTGATTTATCAAAATTTAACATTTACATAATATATTACTGAAATTATCTATATTATCATAAACTAACAATTTTGCTTTTATTGATAAAATATGATAGTATTAATCAAAAATGTATAAATATATTTTATCTATATTTTGAGCTTTTGTGAGGAGATCAACAAMACCCTTAAATTTTACACAATTGCAGTGATAMACAAATATTGAACAAGTTATATAAAATGCAKAATTATCTATTCTATACATTTAATACTATTTTTTTATTATTATTTGGATCAATTAATTTTTTAACATCGAGAAATTAAGATTAATTAATCTCAAAATTGATAGATTTTTTTGTCTTATAAACTTTTAAGCTAACGGAAATAATAATGCATTATTATTTCATGGACTTGCCAAGGATAAAGATTTATTGTTACATTTTTTGATATTAGCAATATTTTCAATGAAATAAAAAAATTGATAGTTGAACTTATACCAACATTTTATTGCAGTATTTGAGGTAACTCAATAGACAACTTTAAATTTAAGAGCAGTACACAAGAAATTAAACATAATACAAAATATAGCTACTTCAATTTTTACAAATTAGGCAATTGTGCCATATTATGCAATCTACTAAAAACTGTGGCCCACCAAATAAGAAATAAATGATATGACATTGCTTATTTTATAGCTAATCATATTATATAGTAGTGTCACACTAAAATAATAAAGTATAAACCAAAAGTATTTGTATTATGTYGGCTTTGTTCTWAGTGCAACAATCTGTCAACTCTATAAAAGAACAAAAGCTATTGGACCTGCGGACAGAGGTGGTTGAAATATAGAATAGTGATTAATTMTCTTTCCTAATTTTACTTTATCATATTTATCTAATGTTAATTTAAGTCAAGATTAAGGCATCTCAACAAKAAGTTATGACAATAACATTTAACCAGCAGATCATGGCACAATGTTAGTTAGATGAGTGCTCGAAACTATGGTAAAAGATTTAGAATTCTGTGGTTTTGAATTATAGATTAAAAATGATGTAACTTATTTAGAAACTGMGTTAAGTACCTAATTAATAATTAAAAATGTAATGCATCAAATTATATAGCAATTCAATATTATTCACATTTCAAAAAAAATATTCACAAGGATTTTCATGAAAAATTAAATTTTCGAACAATTTTTTAAGTGTTATTTAAAGATTTCAAGGCAATAGTTTCTATAAAATTATTGATTAAATTATGTTAGTATTTTCAAAAGAAAACTATTTTTAWAACCATACATTTTTAATGTGAATTATTACTTTACTAACTATGATGTTGTACACCAACAGCAAAGATAAGTCCTTTTTTTTATAATTTTAGCCTATGAAAATTAATAATTTAACCTACTCAGTAGCTAATAATATTCCAACATATACAGGAATTATGTTTTGCAGAATAGGAAAGATAACTAATGTATTTTTAACAGTTTAATTAATATTCAATGCCGAATAACAATTAAATATTAATGATAATTATAAATAGGTATAATGTTAATTATCAATAATTGATATATTGAATACAAAATAAAACATAAATTCATCTAATTAGGACTATAACATGATATATATAACTGTTAGAAAATAATTTATTTTAAATTAGCAACCATAACTAACACTTGAAGAATTTGTTTTAAATWAAAAAAAACACGAATTTGCAAATCTCATCACATAAAATGTTGATAAATATTGTTCATAAGTCCAAATTCTCTCAACACTTAAAATCACTAATTTCAAAATCAAATTTTTTTTTTATTTATTTCGTCATTTGGAATAAGCAATACTGTTAACTTTTAATCTCCATTCAATAGTTAAATTTACTGATTCCACCAATTGTAAACCAAAAATGATTAATTGACAGTTCAAAAGAAAGATGAAACTCTATAAAATTCCCTTGAACTAGTTCGTGCAAGCTAGGTAGTGCAAACAAACAAAACATAACTCAAAAATAAAGATATTAGAATGTATTAGTTAGTCATAACACTCATAACTTAAAACCTTGTCTGTAATTATGTAACATCATACTTTTGGTATAGGTATAGTACTGCAAATTGCAATAACAATATTATTATAAAGTTTTTAAATGTTTTTTTTTTCATTAATTCTCTACCCATATACTAAGCTGAATTATTAATATCAAATAAAAATATCGATTTGATAATGTTACAATATTGTTGTACTCAGTCAGTCAGCTAATAAAAACTTCAAGTATGTTATACCTACGTCAAACGATACGTCGATACCTCATATCCACGGCTTACTTGTTCTACAACTTGTTTACTCCCAACAACCTAACATTATTAGCA